GGTGTGCTGTTTCAAAGGGGCACATGCACCCCCAATGTTTATAGCAGTGCTATCAACAAAGGCCAAAGTATGGAAAGAGCCCAAATGTCCATTGATGGATGAATGGATAAAGAAGACGTGGGGTGTGTGTGTGTGTGTATCTATATACACACAATGGAGTGTTTCTCGGCAATCAAAAAGAATGAAATCTTGCCATTTGCAACTACGTGGATGGAACTAGAGAGTATTATGTTAAGTGAAATTAAAGACAAATATCATATGACTTCACTCATAAGGAATTTAAGATGCAAAACAGATGAACATAAGGGAAGGAAAGCAAAAATAATATAAAAACAGGGAGGGGGGACAAAACATAAGAGACTCAAATATGGAGAACAAACAGTTGCTAGAGGGGTTGTGGGGGGGGATGGGCTAAATGGGTAAGGGGCATTAAGGAATCTACTCCTGAAATCATTGTTGCACTATATGCTAACTAACTTGGTTGTAAATTAAAAAATAAATTAATTTTTAAAAATGGAAATTATAATAAATGTAGAAAGCTCACCTGGCTTTAACAAGGATACTCTCTGCTCCTAACACAAGTCCAGGGATGACTTTCCTTCTTAATAGGTAGACTTAGGAACACTTTCTAATTACAGCTACTAGTTTTGTTTTGTTTTTTTTTCACCCATTAACTAAACAATGAATAAGCATGTTATATTTATCAGGAATAGAGATACTGAGGTAAAAAAAAAAAAAAGTGGGAAAAAAAAGAAAGAAAAAAGAAAAGTGGTGCCTGCCCTCTATCTTGAATAGTGGAAGTACACACAAATAATTACAGTGTAAAAAATGCTATCATAGAAGCATGAACAGCGTGCTGTGGGAGCACAGAGAAAGAACATGTAGTTCTCCCTGGTGGAGTAAGGAACCACATCTAAGAAAAAAAAAAACAGAGCTGCCTGGGTGACTCAGTTGGCTAAGCATCTGTCCGACTCTTGATTTTGGCTCAGGTCAGGATCTCAGTTCATGAGTTCAAGCCCTGTGTCAGGCTCTGCACTGACAGTGCCGAGCCTGCTTGGGATCTTCTCTCTGCCCCTAGCCCCCCCTCAAAATAAATAAATAAATAAATAAATAAATAAATAAATAAATAAGCATTAAAAAAGAAAGAAAGAAAGAAAGAAAGAAAGAAAGGGGTGCCTGAGTGGCTCAGTTGGATGTCTGACTTTGGCTCAGGTCATGATCTCAAGGCTTGTCAGTTCAAGCCCCCATGTCAGGCTCTGTGCTGACAGCTCAGAGCCTGGAGCCTGCTTCAGAATCTGTGTCTCCCTCTTTCTTTTCTCCTCCCCTGCTTGTGCTCTCTCTCTTCTTCAAGAATAAATGGGAAAGAAAGAAAGAAAGAAAGAAAGAAAGAAAGAAAGAAAGAAAGAGAAAAAGTAGTATTTAACCTGGACTTTGAAGGAGAGGGGAAGAAAGAGGGGGAAAAACATTCCAGCAAAGGGAACCGCATATTCAAATCCCCCAGAAGGATGAGAGCATGGCATGTTTGGTGGAACTGCAAGTAGGCTAGTGATGTACTATAGGCCATGTGTGTGGTGGGGAGTGGCACCCAGTTGTAATGTTCTCCAGTGAGTGAGCACTGAGAGAACACACCTGCTAGTGACAATAGAAGGCAATTGTCCAGGCTAGAAGCCCTGTAATTACAATCCATAGAATGCAATGCCTCTGGCAGGGACTCGGATTGCTGCTTAGCACTGCTACCTTGTATGGGCCGTTATTGGAAGGAGAATGCACATAGACCTTAAACATTTACTTTGACTGAAAGTGATTTAAAAGCCACTTAATACAGATTTCCTTGGACACAGTGAATAGGCACATGCATGAAGAGGTAAATTGAGTTGTTCATTTAATTTCCATCTCTAATAGAATTTTCCCCTTCTATAACTAACTCACTCACACTCATTCTCTGTCTCTCCCTCTCCCTCCCTCCCTCCCTCCATCTCTCTCATTCTCACTCACTTGCTTTGATTTGTTTTTTCAACAATTTGGTTTTCACTAAAAGGTTAGGGAAATGCCCCTTCTGTGAAGTTTAGCTTTGAAAAGAATGAGATTACTCTTCCATCTAAGACTGCACAGGATAATTTTCTAAGTACAGAAGTCTATGGGCTTTTGTGTCATGAAGCGTCCTGTTAAAGTAAGGAAACCTGGAGAAGGAATTCAACCCTCTAAATGCATCCTCTCGTCCAGAGGTCATTTTGCACATGCTTCTCTCTGGGCCAACTTTCTGGAAGTTACGCAAATGTGAGAAGCACACATGCCTAAGCCTGGTTACAGAGGAGCAAAGAGGACCAGCTGCAGAACTGGATCCCAGCAGGAGCTTTTTTCCAAATGCTTTCCAACATTTTCATAAGTGAACATCCTCTGTTTATGCTGCAACCATTATTCTTTTTGACTAGAGGAGTTTCTGGCTGTAATTCTTCCAACATTACATTAGCAATCACAAGAGATTCACAGTCTTGACACTGAAGTTTGTACCCAAAGAACACCCTCTAGCTTGAAAAATCAGCTAGGCCTGAAAATTCTGGGACTTAGAACAGTCTAATATGCACCTTCCTCTACATCTATGCCACCCAGAGAATAATATGGAGAAACAAACCTTACAACCAGGCTAGGGCAGTTTCCTGACTGCCAGGGTTAAGTCACTCTTCCTTATGGAACCTCAGTCTTGGGAGGAAACTGAGAGAAATAATCAAGGCCAAGCTCCTCGTTTCACTAATGGAGAAACTAAGGCTCAGGGAGAGGAAGGGATTTGCCCAAAGTGCGTCTGTGGCAGACCTGGGGCTTACAGCCTTATCTCCTGACTACAGATTTTGTGTTCTTTCCACTGCACTAGCTGGAATTGAAACTTGGGCACTGAATAAGCCTGACTTGGAAGCCGCCCAGATCTGAAGGGAGATGGCTTTCCTGTTCAGCATCTTGAAATTGGCTAATCTAGAAACTGGGCAGATCCAATCTTTTGCTGCTGCTACGTGCAGGGAAAACACTAAAGCTCCTTCCTGCCTCTAGGTCTTTAAGGCTCCAGGGACACTCCATGGGAGAGAAGCTCTTTGGACCTTCCTTTCCTCTCTGGGAAAGGAGCCCCACAGTGACCCCATTGTTTCATTCCAAATGCAGATGTGGTTAGACATGGACAACTGGCCTCTTGAATGGCATTGCCATAGGGATTGAGTTTCTTGAAAATGCAGCATTATTTTTAAAGGAGGGCCTGATAAACTCCTGCCTAAGAGTCTGGGGAGTAAGGAGTCAGAGTTATTAAGGAGATGTTTAAGTGAGATTTAAGAAGGTTACATTTAAAACTAAGAGAGTACCACTGGTGGAGATACTGTCATGGAGTCTGATCAAAGCCCTGTATTCCTAGGATTTCCACAAAATTGTGAGAAAGTAGTGAAGGGAAGAACCCTTCTATGGCTACCTTCAGTGGGTAAATTGGGCTGCACAGAGCCAAGGAAGTAAACAGGACTTGCAGGTTTTGGTTCAAGACCACAGTTATGACTCAGTCAAATAGCTACATCCTGGTGGGAATGTTGGAAAGACTGGAATATAGAATAGAAGGGCCAGGATTTTTCTGAAAGGACAGTGAGGAGGAAAAGGGGAGGAGTTGGTGGGTTTGATTAATAATACATTCAAGAGAATAAGGCCTCTGAGGAGAGATGTTGGGAAGCTACATTATGCAGCCTATAAAAATGGAGGTTGATAGGTGATTTAATGTCTTTGAGCATATGAAGGTGGTTATGTGTATGATGGTAACTATTCTTCTCTATCTACACAAAGAATAGAATAAGAGCTTCAATTGCCACAGGAGGAAATTTCAGTTAAATATACAGAAGAACTTCCTAACAGTGAGGGGGTGATAAACACTGGAACATGTTACCAAGGGACTTTGCAGAAGTGCCTTTCCCAGAGATCTTTAAAAATAGGGTTTAGAGAGGTCAGCTGAAAAAGCAAAACCTGCCAACTGCCTCTTTAGCTTTTTCTACTCTCCACCTCCCCTTCTTTCCTTTAATCTCTCTTTCCCTCCCTCCCACTCTCCCTCCCTCCCTCCTTCTCTCCCCATTCCCCCCAACCTCTCATCTCCCAAACTCCTTCTCTTTTGCAGCTACAACCACCTCTATACCAAGCCCTAATTCCTGTACATCCTGACTTCTCTAGGAAACCTTCCTGGAGTTGATATTATTCCCAAGGTCAGGCCGTCCTCCTAGCTCCCTCTTGTCATCTCCATCAATTCCACCAAACTGAGCAGTAAATATGAAAGCCACACTCTTTATAGCCTAATTCTCAATTCTAAAAAGTGACCCACAAGTCTGGCCACTTGGTAATTCTAATCTTTTGGACTCAGCTGAAATGTAACCTGTTTTTTGAAGCCTTCTCTGACTTCTTAAAAATTTTGTCTACTAATTTTGCCACTAATATAGCACTTATACTATCCTGTGACTGTGTCTGTTTCCTAGTAGACTGAGCTCCTTAAGGGTCATTTATTTCTATATCTTCAAACCAGTTCTGTAAATAATTATTCATGAAAGAGGGTAGGGATGTGTGTGTGTGTGTGTGTGTGTGTGTGTGTGTGTGTTGTATAGTGTAATAAAGGTGTTTACCTTTATTACAGCAGGAATTCCCAGAGGGCTGACCTTGTTTTCTTAGAAGTCTGTAGAACTCCTGACAGTATATTATCAGTCAATAACTACAAATTTAACACTAAATCTTGTCTTTTAGGAAAGAAGGCAGGACCTCCTGGGCCCAATGGCCCTCCAGGACCTCCAGGACCTCCAGGACCCCAAGGACCCCCAGGAATTCCTGGAATTCCTGGAATTCCAGGAACAACTGTTATGGGACCACCTGGCCCTCCAGGTCCTCCTGGTCCTCAAGGACCCCCTGGCCTCCAGGGACCTTCTGGTGAGTTCCTCGGTCTCTCCACCTGCCCCCAGGCTCCTTGCAAGTACCTTAAAAGAGCAGGAGTAGGTGATCCTGAGAGAAGTTTCAAATGGTGGTGATGGCTTTGGTGAGCTGTAAGAAAAGCAGGTCTCCCAGCTCCCAGCTCCGTGGAGAGCTGGGAATGTAAGAAGGCAGGAGGGCCTGCCCTACTCTAACTTCCTGTGTATACCAACATGTCAAGGACAGGCCACCTGTTCTCAACCTTTTCATCACAATCCCTCCCTGACTCTAGGCCTCCCTGTATTGAGCAAGTAAACTCGTATATATCAGAGTTCCAGTGGGGGGTGGATTTGGTCTGTTCTGATTTTCAGCATCTATCACCACATGGCCGGCATCTGATTAGAAGCAGGCTATGGAGAGGAATGTTGGGGACTAGAAAAAGTGGCAAGCTTTATAATAGTCTCCTCCCATGAACTCTGACGTGCCTTTCCCATAGAGGTAGAAAAACAGTCACTGGTGGTCAAGCAGTTGGAAACTTACAAGTCCCTCAGACTGTGGAAGAAGCAAATGCAGTCACTGAGACTGAGGAGCCAAGTGCCTCTTGCACTACATCATTACTGCACCACATTGCCCATTCAAATAGCATCTAATCTCTTTGCATCTTTTCCCTTGGGCCCAGAAGGGCATCCAAAAGGTATAGATGCCAGTCCAAACCTGCCTAATTGGAATTGACAGGAGTCAGACTGCCAGGGCTTAGGTCAGTTGTTATTTCCTCCTCCTGCTCCCCTCTTGTATCTTGGGGCTTTAAAGAAATGGGCTCTCTACAAAACTGATTTCTCTAGGCCCCAAAATTCTGGGTCTTTGACTCATAGTTCAAGTGGGGCTAATCAGCATTACTGTGACCACAAGAGAAGGAGATAGAGGGTTTTTTTTTTCTTTATCCAATCTTTCCACAGATACTGAGCATTTTCTACATACAAGAGATAGATTGATAAGTGGTCCCTGTTCCCATGGAGTTCATGTCCTAGAAGAGGAGAGACCTGATTAAAGAAGAAAGATATTTACAAATGGCAAAGCTGTCTATGAAGAAAATTAAAGAAAGGGAGCAAAAGACTAAGGAAGCAAGTAACATTGTCTCAGGGTCACACAGTGGCAGGACTGCTCTCTCATCTGTCTTTATGGGTGCACAGTGAGGCTTGCCTTGGGCCAGCATTAGCAAGAGGCCAGTTTCCCTGCTGGATGCTAGGCCCTCTGAAGAGACAGGTCAGGGACAAGTAACAGAAAGAAGTGGTATCCTCCCCCATCCCCAGGCCTGGCTGCCCAAAGCAAGTCTCACTGCCACTGGCTGCCTAGGTAAGGGGAAAGGGAAGTAGGAAGGAGCATGCCCTCTGATTGTCCTGCCCTATTTTGCAGGTGCTGCTGATAAAGCTGGACCTCGAGAAAACCAGGTTGGCTGGGAATTGCTTTCTTCCTGGGGAGGAGGGAAGGCCACAGGCTAGAGCCACCTTAGAATTTGCTCCCTATTAAAATTGCTGAGGCTTTGTTTTGTAAGGATACCCTGGAGCTCCTGAGATGGTTCACTCACAGCCCCCTCTGTCTATGAGCAGAAAAGCTTTGCCCCAGGGCCTGCCATTAACTAAGGGAACTGAGTCTTGCCAAGGCCATTCCCCCCCCACCCCCCACTGCACAGAAGACAGAGGGCCACCATTTCCAAGCTCAGGAGTCAGCTGAAATGAGATGCCAGTCAGGCCTATCGACCTGAGCCTCCAACTTCCCAGCTACCCCAGACACCTTGTCGGCACTCAGGCACTCAGACCGCCTAGGATCAGGAGCTTGAAAATCAGCCAACCAGCTCCAAGCTAAACCCAGCCTGGGCTTCTGCCTTAAAGGCCCAAAGGGCTCCTCCCTTGTCTTTAGAGCTTCCTAATCTTTGTCTATTGGCAAGTTCTGTGCCTTGCCTCATCTCATCTCAGCCCTCCCTCACTACAGCTGTTTGGCCACAGTTATAAATGTACACAGCTGCACAGTGCTTGATGGCTTGCAGGGAATTTTATATCCATCACCTCATTTGATCTTCAGACATCCCTGTGAGAGAGGCCAGACAGAGATTCTTTAAAATCCCCATTTTACAGTTAGGGAAATGAAGCTCAGAGGCATTCCATTCTGCTGAGGTCACATAGCTAGGAAGTGGCACAGCTACAAATCATATTACTCACTAGCAGAGATGTGGTCACTGGCATCCCAAGACAGGAGAAACGGATCAGAATTGGGATATGAAAGGAGAGTAGAAGTCAGAGTTGAAAATATGGAAACTGGTGGCTAAGCAAGAAGCCATTACTCCCAGTGACTACTCTTTCTGTCCTTCTCATCCTCCCAGCCAGCTGTGGTGCATCTACAGGGCCAAGGGTCAGCAATTCAAGTCAAGAATGGTAAGAGTCCAAATAGACTCTCTCCCCAAGAGGAGCTTCTCCTCTTCCTTACCCCTAGCCTTCAGGTAATCACCAGCCTAGCTCCTCCTGGGCTGCTAAGTAACCTTGGCGGTAGGGGGCCATTCTGCATGCCATTTGCCCTCTACTGGCCGTCCTGGGTAATTGCTTGCACTGAGACCCATCACTACATACCAATTCCATTTACAATCACTGATGAGGAAGCTGAAAGGGACTTGAGACATCATCGAACCTGGGAACTCCTGGGAGAAGCAGGTTGTATCAGAGTCACCATGGGGATATGTGTAGTTTGATCAACATTTTCCCAATACAAACTAGAGAAGGTAAAACTACAGAAAATTAAATTCTTCTTGTCTGACGGGGCTCCACAGAAAATAGGTGGAGGGAGTTTTTCTCGGGGTGAGGTGGGAGCATGTTAGACTCTCTACGGAGTATGAGATGCTAGTATCTATAAAAAGGTAAAACAGGTTTAAGGAGGTTAAAAAAACGGATTTAATGTAACCCCTACATTTAAAAGATGGGGAACCAGAGTCCCAGAGAGATTCAATAATACCATAAGAAATCATACTGCCTTATATTTGTATGTACTTAAAAATTTTCAACATACTTTCTTTGTCTTTCATGTTATATGATCCTCACAACAACCCTATGATATAGGTATTAGCTCCTTTGTGCAGAGACAGAAACTGAAGCTCAGAGAGGCTAATTAGCTGGCCCAGGTTTTCAGCTAAGTGGAGGAGCCAAGATTCAAAATTATGTCCATCTGATTCTTTCCACTGCACTATGCTACTTCGGTGATGTATGTACACTCCCCTGAATGACTAGGTTCATCATTTCCCCCAAAGAGACATGAACATTCATTAACGAACAGCACTTTAAAATAATGTCCAGTCCCCAGGGTGCACAAAGCCTAAAATGCATGAACCCCCAGGAGCCTTGGGAAGCAGCAAGCCAGCCAAGATGCCAGATGCTTACAGAGCTTGGAGTGGAAGGGAGGGGCTCTGAGTGCAGAAACAGTAAATGAAGCTTAAGAAACCTGCTGCATGGGGACAGCTCCTAAGAGCCCAGTCAGTCCTGAATTGGGTGTGCTGAGCTTCGTTAATGATTGGGCTTAGCCACATCCTGGACTGCCACCTGGATGCCTGGAATTTAATAGCCTCAAAAGTATAAGTAGGAACAGAATAGTAGCAAAACCCAAACAATCCTGCTGGGACCAGGTGCCTTGGGTCCTGGGGTCTTGGATGGGCCATAATCACCATCTGTCCAGGGAGGAGTGAGACAGGCAGGAAATAGATTTGTCTGGGTAGACGGGTGGCCTCTGTGCTTATTCTATGCCGGAAGCTACAGATTTTGCTCCCACTACCACACAGCAAGACTGATTCCAGCCCCTCTGGGCCAATCCCTAATAGTAGTTTATGCTGATCTTCAGTTCTACCACAAGCAGAAGGGAGGGAGGCAGGGGTGGAAGGACATCATGCAGAGCAGTCATTTGAAGGGGTAGAGCCAGGGCTCGCTTCCTAACTCCTGTCCCACCCACTTTCACCTCGAGGGAAGATGAGGTCTTCCAGAAGGCCAGTTTCCTCACACCTCAGAGAACCAGGCCTCCTGAGACTAGCCCAACATGGACATTCAAAACATAATTTCTTGGGTGAAGAACGGAAGGTTTTGATGGGTAAAGACCCCATGGGCTTGGACTCCCTCCTCTGGTGGTAGGAAGGAACATCCCTCTCTGTGCAGGATTGAAATGGAAGCTTGTCCTCTGCCCTCACATACAGTTTCTCACTGTCCAGCAAAGGTGGTAGGATTCTCCCTCTGCCCCAAATGGGGTTGCGCTGACAGACAGATGCTTTACCAAGGGTGCCTCAGGTCCCAGATACCCTCAACATCCTTTTGGCTCATTCTAGTGCTGCTTGGTGGGCTATTCCTCACTCTCATAAAAGATCCCCCTCTCCTGTGGGGTCCTATTACCAGTGGTCACCCATCCCAGCTGCCATGAAATCTGACTCCTGATCCCTAAGGTTCTTCAGGTGGACAATTCCTAGGGCTGAGTGGTTTCCTGGAGGGCCCAGGGAAGCCTTCCAAAAAGGAATGGGCATGAAAGAGCTATAAAAAGGAATCTTTTAAGGAAAAGGACAGACAACACCCACGAACCTGCAAGACAGGAGAGAGATTCAGGAGCTATGGCTGAAGAAGTAGAACGGAATAATAAGACCTAGCCTGCCACTCAGTGTCTGAATTTTGCCTGTGCAGTCCCCAAAACAACAAAGAAAATAGGGCAGCATGCCCACTCTCTTCTTACCCCCACTCCCAATTCCAGCCAGAAGGTGTTAGTTACAGACCCTTCCAGGTGGAGGGGTCAGGAAAGGAGAGAGGGAGACAAACAAGTAGACCCCAGGAGCCTGAGGCAGGCCTGGCAGCTGCTTCACAAACTGAATGCTGTCTGCTTCCAAATGCTGTTCTTAAAGCTTGGCCCCCTGGGCTACCCAGGTTGCATTGGGATAGGGGTAGGGGGTTGCTGCTTGATATTTCTTGTTTCTGTTGCCCAGATTATTCTGACATGTACTGAGTGACTGCCCTTCTCTCATACTGAGATCTTTCAGGTGGAGTGCTCAATGACTGGTCTCGCATCACTATGAACCCCAAGGTGTTTAAGCTACATCCCCGAAGCGGGGAGTTGGAGGTACTGGTGGACGGCACCTACTTCATCTATAGTCAGGTAGAAGTGAGTACGGTCTCAGGCCTAACTCTTCTTACATCCAGAATGCAGATCCGGTGTAGGCCACATAGGGGCACTGTGGAGCCAGCCAAGACCAGCCAACTTCCTGCTTTCTAGGGTGACTGGGGTGGGGGCCCTTCACTAGGAGTTGAAAGGAGGGGAGAAAGAAGGGACTGTTTTGGTTTGGATTTTTTGCCCCCTAGCGAGATATCCTTGAAAAACTGAAAAGAGGCCCTTCCCACACCCTGCCATCTGATTCCCTCCTGCGGGGCCACAGAGCCCTTGTTTCCCCACCGAGCTGTTTGGTTCTACTGCCAAACTTGATCTCTGTCTCCATGTATTCTTTGAAAGTCAGTTGCAGGGCTGCTGAGCACCCCTTCCCCCTGCCACACACACGGCCAACTTTACAATAAATAGTGCTCCTGCAGACTTTCTCTCCACCTCGAAAACATTTTTGACGGTCTTTCCTTCCTCTCTCTCCCATTTGCTTGTCTACCTTTCTGTTTCTCTGTCATTCCCTCCTCCTTCCTGCCATCATTCTCCCAGCCCCTTTCACCCCCAGTTTCTGTCCTTGTCCTGCTCTGGGCCCATTCCCCACATCTGCCAATACCCATCCACTTCCACGCCTGTTGTTTGCCTCCACTGTGGTGGCTCCTCCAAGCTAGAGGTAGATGAGCCCTGAGGTTGGGGCTTCTGTGGGGCAGGCAGCAAGCAGGCAGATGGACAGAAAGACTACAGAGCCAACAGAAGGATCTCACGGGACAGTGGCCAGAGAAGGTGGGTTAACCAGCACTTGCTAAGCCCACCAAGCATTCTGGCACAGCCTGGGTCCTGACCCAAGAAATCATATGGCACCCAAATACATTACTCCTTCCTAAAGAGCCTATGGAGGGAGCAACCTTTCATAAAGTGATTTAGGATGACAGATGAGGGTTCCAGTGTCCAGGGGGCCCATAGGTATAATCCCAATGTCCTATAGGCCATTTCTCCTAAACTCCATTGGCAGGGGGAGAAGGGGACTCAAAGCTTGGGCTGGGGTGTTTTCTGGGCCTAGAATAGAGCTGGGAGTGGCCTCAGGCCTTGAACACCTTGACAACTGGGAAAATTTCCCTTGACACCAGACCTTTGAACATAGGTTAGCACTTCCTCCAGGCCTGGGTTTTGTCCTTTATCTCATTCGTGGTGGATAGCACTCCAACTCTCTGGATGTTTCCTTAATCATCAGGGGGCCAAGAGGCAACTGTCAAAAACAGTGAGAAAAATCCAGTCACGGGGAGGGGGCACCGCAAGCTGAGTGAGTGGCCATCCTTAAAGAGCCTAAGGAATGGCAGGTTGTTACTCCACCCTGTCTGGGGAATCAGTGACTTCTAAGTTCAGCCACAAATAGCCCTTGGGGCTTGAATTTGGCAGTTAATTTGTATTCATTTGTCTGTAGCTCCAACTGAGCACCTACTGTGTGCAGAGCACTGTGCTTCATACCAGAGCTGAGGAGGGCAGAGGGCAGGGGAGGGGTTAGGGGGAGGCAGAGGGGTGATAAGGTGTTCCTGCCCTCACAGAGTTTACAGCCCATGTACTATTGAAAAAAGATTTGCTCAGCCACCCAAGCCAGATGGAGTGGGGGAAGCACCGTGTATAAGCCCATCATCTTGTCTTTCCTGTTGACCAACTAACATGCCCTCAGTGGCACTGCCCCCTTCACGAGGTGTGCTCGCAGCTCATCTGAGACAGTCCTGTCTGTTGTCGCAGGGAAGGGCCCCACCCTCTCTTTCCTCTCTCCCCCAATCCCTTCTCGTTGCCTCTCACCCAGGTATACTACATCAACTTCACTGACTTTGCCAGCTATGAGGTGGTGGTGGATGAGAAACCCTTCCTTCAGTGCACCCGCAGCATCGAGACAGGGAAGACCAACTACAACACTTGTTACACCGCCGGCGTCTGCCTCCTCAAAGCCCGGCAGAAGATTGCCGTGAAGATGGTGCATGCTGACATCTCTATCAATATGAGCAAGCACACCACCTTCTTTGGGGCCATCAGGCTGGGCGAGGCCCCTGCGTCCTAGATTTCCCCTGCCCTCTGTTTTGCCCCTGCTCGTGCCCCTGCCCCAGGTTTGGGAGCCAGGACTCCCAGAACCTCTACAAGCTGCTGTGGAGTGAGGTATATGGGTGTTGCAGCCAGAGACAAATACCCCAGTGCTATTTATTCCCCAGTGACTCCAGGATGACAAGGCCTGCTTGACTTTCCAGAACAGCCTTGAGTTAACAGGACAGTTGATAGAGCCCCAGAGTTTGCATGAAGCAGGACCTTCTTCCTTGGCTTCATGTTTACTGGCTCCTGGCGTGACTCTTCAACCTCAAGCTCCCTATTGTCAAAGTTTTATTGTTTCTTGCACTAAAGTGGGGTTCCAGGGAAGCAGGCAAGAGAAAGCAAAGGTGTACGCCAGACTGCGGGGAGGGGGGGCAAACCTCTGAGCCTAAGGGGCTGCTGTTCCTCTCTTGGGTAGGGCTAGGGGCAATTGTGGGATGAGAGCAGAGTGCTGAAGCCAGAGCACAGAGGCAGGGAGAGGAAAGGCACGTGCTTGTGGCAGAGACCGAAACAGAAACCTGCCAAGCAGGGCATCCTCAACAGTGGAAGCATCCTTGCTGCTCTGTGCCACAGCCTGCCAGAAGGTCAGAGTGTTCTTCCCACTCAGGCTGAGAGCCACTTTGCGGCAACTCACTGGGCTTTGGGGACAGGAGGTTTGCTCTTGGAACAGTTGCAGAAAATGGCCAGAAACCAGCCTGCCTAAGAACCTGAAGGCATACTGGGGCCACACGTCTTTCACTTTGTTTACAGCCACACTCCAGGCTCAGAAAAATCTCTGGCTCCCTTTCCAATTGCTCTCTTTCCCAGCCTGACCAGAACTCCTGTCTTCTTTCTCCACAGAGCCTACCTCTGTCTGAGACAGGTGCCTAACCTGGGACCTGTGCTTATTCAAGTCTGGGATACTCTTTAGATGACCTGGGCATAAAGAGACTTTCCTGTTTATTAAGCAACACAAATATTCATCTAGTCAAGTTGTGTCTGGGGGCAATGGGTTGGACTGGATGGCCTCCAGGAGTCCCTTCAAATTCTAATATTTAGCTTCCATGATAGTCTACAAAAATTCCCAAACTCTAGCCTGCCCCTGGGCATCAACAAGGCAGAACTTTTCTGCATGACCCCAAAAGCGCAAGAAAGAGGAGAGGACAGTGGGCTTTTTTCAAGTTAACTGCAACCCAAGTGGTCATTAGCCTAGGCCTTATCCAAAAGGGCAGCACCTGATGCCCTACTGACCCACCTTTCTTCACTCTGGCTTTAGAAAAGCCACAGCAGAGTCACCATGGATTCCAGTGCTGCTTCCCTGAATCCAGGCTCAAGAGAAGCCAGCATCTAGGCACTGGGCAAAGCTCTGCCCTGTACCCAGGTCCAAAGACACCTTCCCCCCCCCACCCCAAGTTTCCCACTGAATCATAGAGTGGGACCATTCAAGGGCCTTATTTCTAACTGCCTGGGACCAGTCTGGTTTCTGGATGCTGGGTCTAGTCCAAACCTGGGGAGGGCCAATCTTGTATAGTCTGCTACCTCTGCTCCTGAAACAAGTTTCCCTTTGGAGAGATTGGGGATAAAGCCCTTCAGGCAGTGGAAACCCCCCAAGAACAGGGACTCATTTCTCAGCTGTACCTTCCCTTTCCAAACAACTATAGTGCTTGGCCCTTCAAGGGTCAGGGTAAGAGGTGGTGGGCTATGACACCATCATCTGGTTGCTAATGAGAGCCTTACAACCCCAAGTAGGGCAAACTGTAGGCATGTGTCTGGCCCAGGCTCCTCTAAAGTGCCTTAGACAGTCCTCAGTTATAGCAAGAACTGAAGGGAACCTCTCCTTAAAGTTTGGAAAGTACTTTCTTATTATGTCCTTCGATGATACTATAACTCCCATCATTTAGACAAGGCTCAGAGAAGTTACGTGCTTTGACCGGGATCTCAGCCAGGTCGGAGTCCAAAGCTATTCCATTGTGCTACACCATTGTGTTGTATTTGTGGTCTAGAAAGAACCAATAAAAATGGGAATGAGGACCCCAAATCCTTCAGTGTCCCTGAGAGAAACCCAGGAATGCTCGTTTCCATTCCTTGATGGCAATTCCTTGATGTTCTTTTGGCTGCCAGGGGCTTCATGGAAAAAGAGTAGGCCATTTCTTTGGGAAATAGCCATCAGCCATAGAGCTCTTATGAGAGCTCAGAAGAATTGTCTTGGCACCATGTCTAAGCAGCAGGCCTCTAGTACCAACAGAACTGTACCCCTCATGTTTTTCCACTCACCTGGTAATCCAGCCACCTATCATGTATCCAGCCCCTGCTGCAGGTGAGGTCTTCCATTGGTTATCCTATAGACAGTTTATAGGAGCTGATCCACTTCCCACAGCTACTAAATGATTCCTGATGTCTTTCTACCATACCACAGAGAGCTCTGTCTACCAGGATCTGTCCTAATGGAGGAAAGACCCGAGAGGATGTGTGAGGAGAGGGAAGGAGAAGGCTTCCTAATTGTACCCCTAAAGGACATTCTGAAACCCATTCTATTCTCCAGACATAGAGGGGATTATAGGGGGAAGAGGATTTGCACAGGATGCTTTATTCATTGTGAAGCCCTAAAAGGAACCCTAGAGGGAAGGAGGTGATGAAGGAAGCAACAGATAGCTGGGGAGCTCAGTTGCAGCAGTCATTGGCAAAGTGGTGAAGCAATTTACTAGTAAGAGGATGTGGAAATAGATTTATAGTCTGGAATTCCGCTGATGTGAGTTCACCAGAGGGCCAAGGCTAGCGTGGATGATGGGACGAGGACATTTGTGAGTGAGCAGATGGCAGAGGTTTGAAAGAGAATTGCATGGCAGGGGCCTTTGCCAGCTACTTGGGGTTCAACAGCCAAAGCTGGCATAAAAGATAGCTTTGGGGGGCTGCTCAGCTACTGGCTCCTTGGGAAATGTAGTCTTGGCCTTAGGTCCCCCTTCATCCATCCTGAGTCAAATCTCTTTTCCTGAGTAGGAAAGGGTTAAGAACCCTGGAGGTGAACAAAGACTTCAATCCATGTGCAAGTACATGTGTTTCCTATAACTTCCGTTGGGTGCAAATAGATTCAGAGAAATTTAGAGCTAGAAACAGAGGCCCAGAGATGGAAGGTGACCTACCCAAGGTGAAGGAGCCCTGACCTGCTGACACAAAAGAGCGAGGGGGTGGAGCAGTCCCTGTCCCACACGGAACCCCTTCTTTCTTCTACCCACAGACTTCAGACTAGAAGTACTTGGCCCCCTTCAGGAGCCTGGCCAGGCAGGGAAAAGAGTAGCTGTAGCCTTTGTCAGAACTCTTCCCCCAAGGCATTTATTTTCCCTGCTCCAGCCTCTGGACTGAAACGCTCTCCACTGGCCTAATACCAGGATGTCCTGAGGCTGCCCTGGCACTGCCTCATCCCCCACCTCCCAGCCTAGAGGCTCCCCTAGGCCATGTAAGCACAAAGAAGGAACCAGACTCTTTCTTTTAATTCATGTCAGGGCTCCCTCCAAGAGGACTTGGGGTGTGTCATTTCTTTATTCAAAAAACTTCCACTAGGGGTGGAGGGTGGGCTTCACAGGGAGATTGGCCTGGAGCAGGCCCAGTGCTGCTTTGGGGGTCAGCATCCAGTGTGAGATACTATGTACATAAACTATATATAATGTATATAAACTGGGATGTAAGTTTGTGTAAATTAATGGTTCATTCTTTGCAAATAAAGCTTTTTTCCCCATTCTTGAAATAGACTTAAGCACTACCTATATGCTAGGTGCTTCTTTGCAAGCGTTGCCACACATGAGCTAGGGGAAGGACCCAAGGCACTCATGTCAGAGGGGGCAACAGAAGGAAGGAGGTCTGAATTTCCTGTCCCAACATCCCACATCCTCTCTGTGCGTCAGATCACACGTTCCCCATCCCTAACACCTTAGGTCTTTTCCTGTAATTGCCTGTCCAGTAAGCCAGAGGTCCTACAAAGAAAGGAACATTGTCCTGAGGCAGAGACACAGCACGGAGTTACCCTTAGCTTGACACTGTGGCATCTGTAATGGATATTTGATGCCTGAGCCCATAACAGCTTGGGTCTACCCAAGATCCAGCCTCCAGCCCCCCATGATGTATCATCCCATTTTGCAGATGAGGAGACCAATGCTTAAGGAATGATGCCCAACTAGAAAGGTTACTTAAACTTCCGAAGGGCTGTTGACAAGACCTTACACTGTAAATGTTCTTTTAAACATTCAGATGCCATGGAATTTAGGGCATAGTTTGCTCAAGGATAGGAAATGGGCAAAATAACTGGAGGAGAATAATTTCGTATAGCTGTCCAATTTCCAAAGTTCAATCACATTCAGTATCATTTGATCTTCCCAATGGCCTCTGAGGTAAGCAGGGGACGGATTCTTCATCCTACAGATGAGGAAACTCGGGCCCAGAGATGACAGATTGTTCCATGTCCTATGGCTTGAGGGTGGTGGAGTCTGAACTCCAAGCACACAGGATCTCAAGGCACCCAGTCCTGTAGGAGTCTCGATGCCAGGAGATGGGGCTGCGTGAGAGCTAGAGAAGCAAAGCCATGATCAGGGATCCTAGGCCCTTAAAACAGACTACTTGGGGCACAATGAGTTTCAGAAGAAAAGCTTTTTATTCTGTCCATTATTTTCCTCAGTACTGATGCTGAGTGAGCATGGGAAACCTTGGGGTACTTCTCTCTTAGGGCTTTCCCTGAGCTTTGGGACTAGTTCCCTTGTAATCGCAAGGAAAAATCAGAGAAGTGCTGGAAGGAGGAGAGAGATGGAGGAAGAAGAGGGGTCTAGAGAACAGCCAAATGGACAGCCCCGCCTCATATTGAGGTCTGGCCAAATCGGGAACAGGAGGCCCATAGGTGACTTTTGTCCTATTTCACAGGTTCCAGGCTGAGAAGCTGCTGGGGATGTCTGTCAAACTATCACCAGTTCCTGGGTCTCTGAGATGCCAAACTTGGTCTTATGCTGGTCAAAC